GTTCTATGGAGAAATAATTCTTCTAGATCTGACAAAAAAATATGTTGATGCTTTTATTCATTAGAAATCATTAATTCTCAAGTTCTCTTGAAAAATGATAATTGAAAAATGCAAATGCAATAGAAATGAAAATTTATATCCTTACTGGTTATCAAAAGGAAACTATATTGGCTAGTTCACCAAGATGAATACCTATGAAATTTTGTGAACGTTATACTCCCCTTAGTCTTATACTATACGAAAGCGCTGAATGGATATACAGAGTGAGCCTTCATGAAGCGATTTTCACGAATTTTGTTGGACATGTAGAGGAGCAAAAGGTGTATTCTGGAGCTACGCGGCGTCCATTGTTTCAGAAAACCAAGGCCTACTAGACCACATTCAGAAGCTCAATAATCCAGAATATATAAGCTATTTTTTTGAGATATCTGCGTACACCACTAAAATAGGCGTCCTCTGAAATAAATCTGTACAAAGTTTCATGAAAAAATATCCAACATTAACGAATCTACATATCATTTCAAACGGCCTACCCTCTATATATCACAGCTATTAGTCGTGCGATCTTTACCACACATTTGGACTGGTATGAATAATACAGGAAAGCTGTCCTCATAATTTTTTCCTCCATGGTTTCACTGAAGGGTTTCAAAGGATTGAAAAAAACAGACATATCTGAACAGTAGTTGATTCGAATTCACTATATTTCCGAGAATGCAAATGAAAAAATGAAGCAAATTCCGTTAATTTGGGCTGAGGTGATTTTTGCATATCGAGGTTCGAAAGCACGAGGATTGAGGAACAATAATATGAGGTTAATTTCATTGCAAAACATTGCTAATAATATAATTTCATAAAAATTGACCCCTTTTTATTTCGAAAAAAAGCACGGCACTGTCCAACAGGATGTTCGTCTCTGAAAAACAAATCATATTGATGGCAATTCATGCTGGTCTCAATTTGATACACGGAGAAGTAACTTTAATAGTATGATGAATGTCAATTTATCATACACTCAAAAGTTAATCACCACGAGAATTTTTGTGTTCCTGAGAATGTAGACCTACCACTATCAACCTGTTCCATTGAATTTCAGATTGATAACTGTTAGTGAATACAGCACTTGTCATTAGTGACTTATTCACTTATCATAAGTGACATATTCATTTGCGATCAGTGACTTATTCATTTGTCTTCAGTAACTTGTTCACTTGACATTAGTGACCTAATCACATGTCATTAGTGACTCGATTACTTGTCATCAGTGATTGATTCACTTGTCATCAGTGGCTTATTTATCTGTCATTAGCTAGATAGTATGAAAATTTCATATATTGTTCTCTGAAGGAGAAACATTTATTGAATAGCTATGATCAATCATTCATGCACTGGTACAATTTTTTTTTCTTCAGTGATGAAGATGAGAAAGTGGAACTGAAATTAACTTTCATACTCATTAAACGTTGATTTTTGTTCTGATGGGAGAGTTATGTAAAAGAATAACAGATCATCAGGAACTCAACACTCCACGGCACACAAAATGAGAATCTTCACGAATATGATATAGCACTTGTTATCAGAAGGGCACTTGAATGAATTTCAATTGTACTTGGGAGAACGCATGTAAACTTCACAAACGCTAAGAACATAATGGAGTCGTGGACAGTGGAAGTTATCGCGTCCTAGGCAACCAGATGACGTTTCAGTGACGTCTTTTCACGTCAGTTGAATGACCAAAGTGACGTTAGGAGTTGACGTCGTATGACGTGATAAATGACGTGAATAAGTCACAGCACAATGACGTCATATTTCTCACGTTTATTGAAGTCAGTCACTCAACTAGCGGTGACGGCGAAATGACGTAAAAATCACGTCAAAATGACGTTCATTTTTCGTGATACAATGTAATGGAGTTCTCTGGAGCATAGTGTGATAGACAGAACTAACCTATCATGACATCTAATATTGATTATGCATGAGACTGCTTGGTGGTCCTTCCGGTGTCATATCCATGCCATGGTCTATTCAGCAGCGCTATTCTTTAGTACGCACCTCCATCAGAATGAGATAAGTTAATTGTATTTGTAAAGAAAATTTTGTAGTTTGTGTCGGCGAGAGTGAGCAAACCAAGAATAGTTTGATAGCAATGTGAAGGATGTTGGCGAATTTAGCTCCACTTTGTTGAGTAACGTATATTCATGCATTCTTTCACCTAAGAAAAATCTGGAAAGCAAATTTTTGACAAATTTTCTGAGTGACCAAGTCCACCAATTTGGTACGTCACACCGACGTGATTTTTAGACGTCATAGATACGTCACTGCAACGTCATAAAAGTGATGTTTTCAATAGGTCTATCTATTGCCATTTGTATTTATACAAATTATAATTTCCCTTTCTTTCAACTTCACTTGTGTATACAGGCTGTGTCAAACTCGATGGCCTATTACACTTTTCTGGAGAACGAAACATAGGATCATCCCGAAAATTCAATGCCTTTGGTAATCAGTTCTGCTCAATCAATCTAAAGATATTTCATCTTAACTTTTCATTGGACATCAATTAATATTTAATTGGAACAGAATTTTGCATTATCAACCACCCTGTATTTTTTCCAATTAAATGCCAGTAACTATTGAATCAGAAAATGAGATAGGGACATGGGAACCGTTTTTACCAATGATTTATATAGTTTCAACACATAAAATTACTAACCCTTCGATAGACCCCAATGTGTGATAGATCGGTGAAATCCGCTCTTCAGGGAGATTCCAAAAATACATTCCATTCGAAATAACAAAGTATTCTTCTACTTTTCTATAGAAGCGGCAACGCCGAAGCGCTGAAAATATTTTAGATCGATAGAACAAAACTGGTTATCCAAGAAACCGAATTTTCAAAATTATCCGATGTTCCGTTCTCCAGAAACGTTTAATAGGCCACCGAGTTTCAGACACCGTGTATATACCTATATTATACACATACATACCGAACTATAGGGAAACATGACGTTGACACGACGTCCCTGCAACGTCATGAAACAGACGTCATATTTTACCCATCAAAGTGACGTTCACTCATAATGTTGACGTGATTTTCACGTCATAGAAAGTACGTCATAGTGACGTCAGAAATTGGTGTGTGACGTGTCTGACGAAAAATCACCAATTGGGTACGCCAAAGTGACGTGATTATTCGTCATCTGGTTGCCTATAGAGTTGGGTGTGGGCACCCGAATAATATATCGGAGATGTCCGAACTGAGAAAAGATGTATAACCACAGGTGAGCTGTCACTTGCACCAATCGACTTGATAGATCGTCTTCATCGATGAGTTCGCTCAGAGCAAGTGATTTTGTCTCAGAATAATAATTTGATAATGGTGAGTATTCATTAAGCTAGCACTATAATTATTAACAACCTCAAAATACATATCATGTTATGTTGATAAAATCTTGTAAAATAAATGTTTCATTGAATCGTTTTATTTTTTGCCATTTCTTCGTAGTCGTTTGAAAAAATCCCATCAAATCCGGCATTGTTGAATTTGTAATAATGAACTCTACTTGAATATGGAATAATATACTGGGTGTCCCTATTCAAATAGAAAAGTTTAGGTGCAGTTCGGTGTGACCCTGTATACCTACGATTTATTCAATAGCATATTTCGAGTGAACATCATCAAATATACTGGGTGACCAAATTTCAACTCATTCGATCGCGCGGTTGATTTTTTAGAGGAGGGAACATTTTAGCTGGGACACGGTGTATACCTTATTTTTCTATCGTTGTTCTTGTCACAATCGACTTTTTTTCAATGAAACGGTTTACTTGGCCGAGCTTTCTCAGTGTACGAATCGCACGACTATAATAGCTGTGGATTGAAGCTGAATATTTTTCCATGAAACTTAGTACACATCTATTTCCGAAGACGTCGATTCCAGTGGTGTACGCGGATTTTCTCGCTAATATGGATTCTGAAGTTTTCAGCATCAGAATGTGATCTAGTAGGCCTTGGTTATAAAAAAATTGACACCACTTAGTTCCAAAATACACCTTTTCCCCTTCTACATTAAAAACAAAATCGTGGAAATCGCTCCATAAATGAAAAAAGTTATGAGGGTGGCCAGCTTTCAAAGTTTTCACTCTGTAGGTAACGCAAAAAATTCGTTTCTTTCGTCCCAAATTATAACTGCCTAATTGATAGATAGGTCTTGCAAGATTCATTTTTCAATTAGGGCAATAAGGCGAAAGCGATTGTTTTTGGTTGAAAATCACAATTATCGGTAATTAGTCAAATTACAAGATTCAGCTTGCAACTAAGCTCTCATCTAAGCTCTCATTACTTCACTTTAAACGTGCCCAGATAATCGTCTAAAAAATGTAGAAATGTTACCAACATAGCAAATTGAATGCTGATGAATTATGATTTTTTATAATCTTCTGTTTCATCAACTTTGCTCTAGGGTAGATCACATCATAAACCGCGAGTCATGAACTTTGTGGAACATCTTTACTTTGGAATTTCTAAACGATTAGATTTCCTTCCAGAGTTACAACCAGCTTTTGTTATCCCTCAGTCACGCAGATTTGCTAAGAGATCATATTCACTACCTTTTGGCAAATACTTTTATTTAAAAAAAATAAACAGTATTGAAGAGATTGTCCAATAAGAGCTCCGTAGAGTGTGAAAATAAGCTCTGATTGCAAAGATAGATCTTGCAAATGAATCTAGCAATTCGACTAATAGCCAGAAGATGAATTTTTCAATTAGGCCCTGATTGTAAGATCAATCTTGCAATTGAAGATTGATCACAAGATGCATATTGCATTTGGACAAATCTTTGAATTATTATACCGTAATGAATGTTGAAATTGACAAACAAATCTAGCAATCATAGTTTGGAGTGAAAAACCTTTTTTTGCGTTTTCTCCGTCTTTTGTCATAATACTCAGTTTTTCGAAGTATGTTTTGCTCACTTTGATATTTCTGTGTTTTTTTTCATATTCTGTTTGGCTCTATATAATTATCATAATTTTGAAGACGTATCCTTGGTTATCGAAACCAAATCACACAAGGTTCACTTTTCGGAAGAATCAATGAATTTATGAAATATCAAAATTCATTGTTCTGATATTTTTTCGTCGAAATTAGATGATAATATTGATTTTGGCACAGATATTATCGGACAGAACTGTAAGAACAGTTTATACATCAATTCTATTGGCAATAAATAAACCTATGTAGACGCATAGTTTGTTCAGACGATGAAATATATCGTATAATGTAGATATATACCTATACGAAGTCCTCGTTCACTCAGGGATTCTTCCGATTGTCACTCGACGATACTTATAAACAAATTCTAAGTCATTCAAAACAATCGATTTTTGGTATACATTCGCGACATACTAACAACCGCTGACGTATTAATCGACAACTCCATGGAATATACGAACATTTTCGAATCGTATCCAGAAATCAATAAAAAGAAGAAAATACACATGCATGGACTTATCGACAACTGAATAGTTTCAATCAACCACATTCATCCGCAAAATAATCGATCCACTCAAAATATCGATAAGGTTTGCTCATCAATACTCTATTATTTCGAATCTGATTCGATTATTTCTTCATTCATTCACGACCGGGCGTAAGGTAGCACTTTAACACCATAGACCCATAAAGAGGTACAGCAGGCGTTGAAGTATTCCGGCGTGTGTTAATGTAGGTGAACAGGCGGTTGGAGTAATTGAACTGGTTCTTCAGTTTTTTCTAGTGGAATACCATTTGATCATTCTACGCCGGTGTTATTCATAATTTGGCAAAATGAACTCAAAATCATTGTTGAATTCCCTATTAATAGTAAATAAATGTCTGAAACGGTTGTGCATAACATGTTAAATGTATTTCGGGTGTAACTTGCTTTTATAGACCTAGGCTAATTGATATTACTCACCAAGCTGCGGTCCATGAAAGTCTATCTCAAGCCCTTGATACATTGTATATAACTATTATAGTGTATATAAATCCATAAGAAAGCTGTCGTAAGTTTGAAATTTCAAGAAAATTGAGCATTCTTCCATATTATTCATAGTGTAACAAAACGTGCCTTTGTAACTTTAAAATAATCTATGGAGTGGCCAAACTGATACACTCTGTAGTTTATTATTTTGTTATTGGGGTACATCTATTCCTCACATTATTGCAAGTTGCGATAGCTTGATTTTTGTAAAATATGTAACTAAAGTAAGTTAATTTTGTTTTATTCAACCTAACAATGTTATGATTTCCATCAACTTTAGTGGACCAAAGTCGCCATTTTGTAACTTCAATTATAAATCGGATATTCTTTCTCGAACAATATTCAGAAAATTCTCCCTCCTCTTCGACTCGGAAAATTTTCAAAATATTCGTGTTCTCAAAACAGTTTCCGGTAATAATTTACGCTCGTGTGGCATTATAAGTGACACCTCACCTTATCTTCTTGAAATTTCAAATTAAGATTCCTGATGAATTCACTCATGCTATAATGAGAAGAAAAATCTATTCGGAGATGAATCAACAAAGATAATGATGAGCAAACTGGAGAAGTTTCGAGTGGATCTATTATTTTGCCGGTGAGTGTATCAACGTCATTCCCATAAATTGAAAATCCTCACCATAATGAAGACTCAATTTGTATATGAAGTGAAGTTAATGTGTTTCTCCTACTATTTGAATTTTGCAATTCCAACATGACATGGAAGTTCACATTGCTTGGAAGTACTTAATAATTAGGAGTGATGAATCAGACTGTATTCTATTGGTGCTGGTTGAATATCCAAAAACTTAGAGCTGAGTCCAAATCTAATAATCAGTCATGTTGGGAAGTTGTCGGTAAGAAACAGTTTAGTGGATACTCTTTTTAAATAAATGAGAAGGTCTGTCCCATATCCAATGAGTGTACTAAAAAATACCGTTTCATCATCGATCAAACTCAATAAAAAATTAAAACATCTTGCACAACCATTCAAAAGTAATGGATAATATAAACGAATTGAAATAATTTTCTACGTTAAATTTCCATCAAACCTCACACTAATTTAAAAAAAAAGGAGATGAGGAAGCATTTCTTCAATTTCACCTAAACGAAGACAGTTTTAGGAAGACAGTTTACATATTGGAGAGAGCAACTAACTATAGTTCTTGGGTTGGAAGTGGTATTCGCATGTCATCAACTTGGTTAACGACATCATAACCATTTGTGGTTTCAGAATCGGCTAACCGAATTGGCTTGAAAAATATTAAAAAAAGGCCAGAATTCTTCAGGACTGATGAGACTGAAAATCGCCAGATTCATTGAAATTGTCGATTGTCAGAAAAGTATTCTATTTCACTTATAAGTCACCCACCACACTTTTGAGTCACTTTTTATCTCCTTGTAGGCCTTGGTGTGGAAGCCACATGATTTGTTAGCCAGAGATTGGAACTTCTTACTTTATTTACCCCGATATATCTCTATTATTCTGTCCTGATCAACGTATTCGAAGATATGCGGAGCATCCATCAGAATTCCCACAGTTCCAGCTGTCGTCACAATGAAAAACATGTACAGCTGAAGCCTGTCGATCACCATCGCCACATACTTCCAGTCTTCACGGGTCTGAAACAATAAATCATCTTGTATATACCTATTGAAATGGAATGAATCGAATATACGATGGAAATTAAACTGCGAAAGGATAGATTCGAGCTCATTGATACGAGTGATCAAACTTGGTCCGATGGAGTGTGCATTTACTCTGTGCACTCTATTTTTCGAGGTTCATTGTGTATTTGTTATCAAATTGTCTAAGTATCTGAATAATAATAATAATAATAATAATAATAATAATTTATTCATCCATGAATAATATCATCATTTACATTGCATGTTTTTTAAACTGGATGAATAAATCACAAATCCATATAAGGATAACCTTGATCATGGGTCATAATCATTCGGTCCAGAAACAGTGTATTGTTGAGAGATTGTTCGATATAACAATAATGATGTTGTCAATGAATAATTAATGCCTAATAAGGAATATAAAATAGAACATAAATTTTATTAGAATAACATAATAATATATAAAATGAAGCAGATTAAAACAAAAAATAAAATGAATTGAAAGAATATAACTATAAAATATAAATATGAATATAAAAGTAGAACTCATCTGATGTATATGGTGACTAACAAGTTCAAATAACAGTATAATACAAAAAATACAAATATTCAGCAATACGAGAAGATGGTGATGTAATAAAAAAAAGAAGTAATTGAGATTAATTTTATGAATGGAAGAAGCGTCCACTCAGAATATTTTTTGATCTATCATTCTATGAATATCATCCCGTGAAATCAGTTTGAGCCAACTTTTCAATTATTTTTTAAATGTGAATGATTTGAGATATGTTTGATTTCGAGTGGACTGTTATCATATAATTCAATTTAGACCCTAAGTAATAATAAGACCTTTGTAGTATAGTTTTGTCGGGTCTGGGAACTACCGCTGAATCAGCTCTATGTCTTGTACAATATGGGTGAGTCACTGGAGTTAGATCAGATTTATGCTGGTGTTTCCTCAATAGGATTCTATATGCAAATAATTGCCTACTATCAAGTAGTTGGGATTCTGCAAATGAATGATCTGAGGGGTAAGTATACGGCTTCTTCATAATGATTTTTATTGAATATTTTTGAATTATTTGAAGGCTATGTAAATATATATCAGTAGTTCCACCCCACGACGTTATTCCATAAATCAAGTGACTTTTTACCAGTGCATAATAACTAGTCTTCAGTTGTTGAAACGTAAGGATATGAGATAAATGCTTGAATTTCGATAACAAACTTCATGATTTTCTGGTAACATATAGCACCTGTACATCCCATTTCAAATGACAATCAATATAAATTCCCAGATATTTGATGCTACTTAATGACTTGATTTTCGTAGTTCGCTCATTTGAAGCAGAAGTAAGTTCAATGTATTCTGGTAGATTTGTTTTATGCCAGGTGGAAGCCATGTAATGAGTTTTTTCAAAGTTAACTGTGATTCATGCACACTCTTTCTGTCTCTCGCTGCCAAGCATAGAACCACCAATTACGACAATCATGTATTTCTAAACAATAATCTAATGTGGTTGACTGACCTGTATGTATAAATCTTCGTTGCGCAAATGTTCAGCTATGAACTCCACAGCTTCTGTGGCTTTGGAAGCTTCGGGCGAGAGTAGTATCGAATCTGAGCTTTCGCTCTCCCTTCTACAGCTGTCGCCAACCCCCACTCCGACACCTACCCCCATGTCGGAATTCGGTTTCCGATTGATCTTGCAATTGGGGTGATGATGCAGATCGGATAGTTCCATCACCTCTACTTTGCTTTGGGATTCGATGGAACTGAAATTAATCCAAATTCACGTACACAAGGGTGTCTCGAAATTATAAATATGTTGACAAGCTTGAGGTAGAATCCCATAACCTAATCATTAATTTCACAAACCCAATCTTGAAACAATTATGGATAACTCAAATCATTTTCATACAAAACGATAGATATTATTTGATAAATTAATAATTCGCTTTCATTTTCGATATGCAGTCTCAGCTAAGGGAGGTCATGCCCTGCTGGCATTACACTTGCCTGCTGATACTGCATTGATCATCATTAATTATCGTATTCAACTTGAGAAGTAGGAAAATCAATCAGAGAGAGTTCAGTTGTATTTGCCGAGCTCAACAATGAGGTCGTTATTTGACACTTTTCTACCCAGGTGAATAACCCATATATGGTATTCCTTTTATTTGACTATTTGAGTATTTATCTAATATATCTATGAACGGTCATATGGTTTACATATATTTTTCTAGGTACAAAATGAGCTCTGGAAGCTTGTGTGTGCATTATTAAATCATATTTACAACAGATAATTCACCAATTAGTAAATTCGCTAATGAATCGTCTTATATACTAATATCCGGACTAATATGGAACCAATATACAATCTGAATATAAACAATATATGCAATATATGTCAAAGTAATAGCTAGATATTGGGTTTGTTTTTCAAAACTCAAGATGATATTTTATTTTTGATTTTTTTGTATGGTTTGCCTTTGAGTTCGTTTGGTAGTATGTTATGAATTTTAGGCCCTATATAAAATAAACTTCACTAGATAGTTACATAAGATGTAGTAGGAACAATTACATTTTCATTTGTTACTGATCTAGTTGTTATAACATGATCAACTTTCGGTACATTCATTTTTTTTTGGGAAATATATCTTACAACAGATTTTAGAAATGTCAAGAACTCTTGCAATCTTCAAAGAGTTTGTCAGTAGAAAATGTTTTATTCCTGAACATTATAATTTTTTGAATGTATGTTTGTGCTCCAGTTAAAGGAGGCATAAGGCATAAGCTGAACCCCAGGCTGAAATTTCATATGATAACACAGACAAATCCTTGATTCTATTAATAAATTAATGTCGCCTCTTCAATTTTTTGAACGGGTCAACTGGGAAAATTGAAACTTGGCATGATGGAATTGATGCACGAATACTATATTTTTAAATAAAATTGACAGATGAAAATTACCAGGTTACAACTGGGCGCCATCTGTGAAAAAAATCAAATGGAATGGGTTGAAGCTCCTGACGAATGACTAATAATGCCTGAATACATCGACGTTAAAATTCATAATTTGAGGAAATAAGCTGAGCTCAGTGCAGAAGATGCTCGAAATAATTGCCTTGAACTTCTTCACATGAGAATAGCTTATCCGATATTTCTCCCCGAATCGCCCGATCGCCCTATACGGACCAGTCCGGCCCTGTTTTCATCTATGAACTCCACTTTGAGTTACCATGGAATTCTTCCAAAGTTTAATTAAGTATTTTGGATCGTACCCACCAACTAAACGAACTCTATAGGCTATGAGAAATTTGGTACTGGGGTACTAGTTCATTTTTGTCCCTATGACATGCTTCTCTGTCTGTGGGGGTTGGATAAAGTGGGTTAATTATACACCCTCTATCGCCCTTGACTGTTCTTTTCTTTCCCATTCAGTTTGAAACAATAAAAAATCTGGTGGATATATACTTTCGCTCGTGAAGCGAACTCTTCGGCATATTATGAAAAATCAATATATCCCCACTTTCATGAGAAGAAAATCGGCCCAAGGTGGTGGGGATATTATTATCTCATCAACTGGCTATAAAAAGATTTATTGACTTGAAAAGGTGGAAATAAGTGATTCATGGTAAAATTACTCGGTATTTCAACAATACTCTTTCATGGGAAAATCATGTCAGATCCATTGCGAAAGCTGGTTCACAAAAGTTAGTTTTTTTTTTATTTTTAACGAGAATCTACTTCACACGTCAACAGCGTCTTATGATCTACAGAGCACATATACGGGCTGTTCTAGAATACTGTTCTCAAATAATATGGGATCCAGCACCGAAATATACGCTGATGCTATGTTCCTCAGAAATCTCTGGTTATCTTTCCATCACTAGCAATGGCAGTCATAAGAACTCGACAAGCCCAGTCGGCACATCCCTTCGTCGTCAACTTTGAGATATGTCGAACGGATCTTTTCCAAGACTCGTTTGTCTATAGAACGGCAAAGCTTTGGAAATATTTTCCCAAGAGAGTACAATCTCCAAAAGTTAAAAAAAAATCCAATACCTAACTTCTCTCCCTATCCTCCCTATAGGTACGCGCGCTGTTCTTCGAACCTTATAGAGATTCCCTTTCGTGCGCTTCAAGAGATATTAGAAGAAATTCGTTGGGAAAATATTCTCATTGAGATGTCATGTCGATTGTTGATTCACGAAGTGATGAAAATATTTTTTTTCTGTGACTGGAAAAAAGTTAGAAATTTCGTCTCTGTTGACAGGTTATAAAATGTAACTTTTCATGAATTACTTTTTTCCCACGAAAAAAAGTGATTAATTTTTTCCCGGATACATTTAACATATAGGGCGTTTCTCAAGTACGTGTAGCTAATTCAGGAGCATGTTGCTGACGTCTAAATAAGAAGAGAAGTTCGTATAAACATATGTCCGAAAGGTATCCGTTTCTGAGATACAGAATGTCAAAGTTGAATTCTAATTTTTGTTTTTTGTTAATAAATTTCAAAATAATTGTGATATTGAAATAAAATTTGGTATCTGGGGGTATTTTTCAATGACAATAACAAATTTCATGTTAGTTTGTCTTTGTCTTGGGGTGGCACTACCTACATGTCTTTTGGATGTTTATACAAAGTCATAACTTTTTTGTGCGTACCTACAAACCTGTGTATATAACCTCTATATGTATATACGTTTCTCTACAACATGAACCTTCGTTCGCCAACTTATATCCAGACTTTTCAGGATGGCTTTCGAATGATATCCGAATGCTCGTAATTGATTAAAACACTTGAGTTATTCAATATTGTATTTTTGATGAAGTTTGATAAAGTGGAGAAAGTTCAGGATGGTTCTCCAGATACCTTACACATATATGTTTCGGGATTTGACAAAATGAAATTGCTTTCAAATACTCCTTCATTAACATTAACATAATGAGTTCATTTCTTGATAATCAACCATAATGATACGCGTCCACGCAAATCGTCAAATTCTATTCTAGATTTTTTCGTCCTCCATCAACCAACAACAGCGCTGTTTCTAAGGCAATGTATGGAGTTATTGAGATGGTCTACTCATCAACAAATTGTTTCTATGAGCTGAACGATGCTGAAGAAACACATGTGTTAGGTCTCTTGGAAACCATCCTGAACTTTCTCTATGATTATCAAAAACAAAATAGTTTCCCACCGTATCATTATTATTCATATTATCATAGTTCAAAGCCAAATTCTTCATGTGAATTCCGGAATTATTTCGTTATTTCATTACGTCATCTGTTGTTATGTATGTTGAACCTCAGAATTTGCTTTCGGCGAAGTCACAGCACCTAGAGGTGACCTGTTATCGATAGGTAGTCCTCTGTTATCGTTCAAATGTTGAATGAACCTGAGCGTTTGCTTTCGGTCAGGGCGAAAGCACCGGACGTTTATGTATTCATTCACTTCATTTTCTGGAGCGCACGAAATGGAATCGATAGTATGTTCACAGGTCTTGGATTTCATATTTTATGGAGATTATAAGTTCTTGGAAATACTTCCTTTGGTAAACTCGCAGCCGTTATATGGAAAAATGTTGATCGGACCTGAGCGTTGGCTTTCGGCAAATAGTAATGTGCACTTGCCATCGATTGTTTGTCATCTGTCCTCTGACAAATGCCGGTTGAACTTAAACGTTTGCTTTTGGCGAGGTTCCAAGCACCGGCAGTATCATCAACGGTATACGTCATGTGTCAAATGTGAGTTGAACCTGAGTGTCTACTTCCGGCTAGCACTTGAAGTTTCATCAAAGGAATACGTTATACGTCAAATGTCATAGTGATCTATGACTGGTCAGCTGAGTCATGTTTTTCTCTATATGACAAAGAGGGTTTGCTCTCGGTTAAGTTTGAAGCACCAGAAGGTCACGTTTTCTCAATTGTACGTCTTCTGCCATCTGCCGTTTGCTTTCGTCGAAGTCAAGGCACCAGAAGGTCACGTGTCATCGATCGTTTGTCATCTATTATCGAATGTCTGTCGAACCTGAGCGTTTCGGTGGGATTAGCAGCATGTTTTTCAACTATTTCATTCGGCTCAAGTTTTTCGACTTTCCCTATATGTTTTTCGAATAATTATTCGGTTCAGGATATTTTGATCACCCTATATATAATGATTTTTCATTTGTCATAAGTCATCGGTCATCTGTCAGAGGTCAAAGGCCAAAGGTCGAAGGTCAATGGTCATAGGTAAAAGGTCAACGGTCAAAGGTCAGCGGTCAAAGGCCATCAATCATTGTCAAACGTTAGATTCCAAATATCGGTTGACCCTGACCGTTCTGGTAGGGTTGGAAGCATATGTTTTCCAACTATTTCATTTGGCTTAGGTATTATTGTGACTCACCCTGTATGGGTTTTTCGATCATCGGTCATCATCGGTCATCGGTCATCATCGGTCATCATCGGTCATCATCGGTCATCGGTCATCATCGGTCATCGGTCATCATCGGTCATCGGTCATCATCGGTCATCGGTCATCATCGGTCATCGGTCATCATCGGTCATCGGTCATCATCGGTCATCATCGGTCATCGGTCATCATCGGTCATCGGTCATCATCGGTCATCGGTCATCATCGGTCATCGGTCATCATCGGTCATCATCGGTCATCGGTCATCATCGGTCATCATCGGTCATCGGTCATCATCGGTCATCGGTCATCGGTCATCGAACATCGGTCATCGGTCGAATGCCAAAGGTTAAATATCAAAGGTCAACGGTCAAAAGTGAAGTTCAAAGTTCAAAGGTCATCGATCAAATGTCATCGGTCGAAGGTCATCGGTCGAAGGTCATGTGTCGATGGTCATCGGTCAAAGGTCATCGGCTGAAGGTCATCTCGATGAAATGTGATCAATCAAATGTCATCGGTCAATTGTCAGACGTTGAAGTTCGAAGGTCAAAGTTCAGAAGTCGAAGGTCAGATGCCGAATGTCGAAGGCCATCGGTCATCGTAGAGAGTAGATCCCAAGGGTAGGGAATAATGTTAGGTTAGATGCCTAAACGGAGTTGGAACGTCCAAACTACGTTGGTATATGGCAGTTGAGAATAATGCATGGGTGAGATATAGGGGTCGGTTGGTGTGACGTATGGGTGCACTACTGCTATAAGCTTCCAGCAAACATCAGTTTCAATTTCGTATTGACTGATTCAATCACTAATACGTACCGTTTCAGAGATAAAACGAAAAAACAAAAAAGATGTTCAAATTTGTCCTTCTTCCTCTTATGGCTCACCACATAGGTGCAGGGACTTTCAGTATTTCCACCTTCTGACTACTCCATATACATCTCTGAATGACGGCTAATATATTCTGATTGCCAGATTACGCTACCTTGACGTGAGGTGAAGGTTGGTAGAACTGATTAGTATACTTTCATTCAATTTTATTTGGACTCTTTCTGAGATATCGTCGCTTCCATTCTAGATATTGCGCGTAAAGTCTCACATTGATAGTGAAAAATTCAAGACCGATCAAGTCCAATCAGAACTTCAGCTCTCTATTTGTTTAAATAGGCCACATCATTTTTTCCGTCAATTTATGAATAAACAGGCCTCAACCTTCTATACTGTCCAAAATGTTGGGATTTTTTACTCTGACAGAGACACACGCTCTAGTAACACCAATTGATGAGACTGAAAATGTTAGCCCTTATCCAAATTCTGTCCTCTCCCTCCGTTGACTGAACTTATAAAAAGTCACAAAAGTCACCGTTCTTGATCAAAATCAAAAATTTACAAGGTAATGCTAGTTGTCATGCATTCGACGAACTTTTCGGATGCTAGATGTTGAATTTTCTGTATACATTCAAGGTATTTAATTAGACTGTTATTTCATAGTTCACCTTATGTGTTTGGGAATGTCGGTGGGAGATCCATATGGATGTGGCGGGACACCCATGCCCGGCATTTCCATCATCCACCGCAATCGCGTTTTCCGCGGCCTCTTCATCAGGAGCATCGCTGGTAAGTAGTTGAGGAATACTGATCTGATCCAGGATGGCATTCTGTTGAAGATTGATTATATTACTATCTCGCTTGATTATAATTCGTTACTAAAAACTGACGTTCATAACATGGTAGGTATGGTGGTAACAGGGTAGTTCAACTTCAAATTCAAATTCACCTCATTGCTACATGGACAGCAAGTTAACTGAATCAGGCTCGTCAGTTACAAATTATATTCAAATTAATAATAATCAATTAATGAATAGATCATAATCGATAAATGGATGAATAATTACAGGAATCCTGAAAAAAAAGGTACCTGAAAACATTGAGGTACATAACAATCATGGCATATCTACTTCACATTAATACGAAGGAATCTTTCACGTTGTAAAGCAGATCCACTGTTCGGAGTATTTCAACTCTGATTTGAACGTGTTTATTCTCAAGTCACGAAAATCAGAGGTCGCAGATCGAGAGCATCATACCTATGTCATCACATCTTATCAGGCGCGTGAGGGACAGTATCAGATTGATATTTTTTTTGCTCGAGTAATGTAAGTGAACATGAGTGTACTTCAAAGTATTTCAATCGCTCTTTACTTCTACTCATTTCTCATACACAATTGGTCAGTAGAGCGTCATTAATTTGATTTCCATAAACAATGTTTCACTGGAGGCTATTATCCTAATAGCATGTTTTGAAGCCAGAAGAAATGTATGTAGGTGTATTTGGAAAGCTGAGCTTCAGACATTTATTCCATATCTGAGGGTAGATTCGAAGAGTAGTAGTAGAGAAGAGTAGGTCATAATGGCGTCTGACTTGCTAATACATTTTCCCCCTCTATTATATATAGCATAGATCACACAATTTAATCTGGTGCATAATTAATTGTGTTATATAAGTGCTCTACATGAGCCTTTCAACAGTGTTGATTCCTAAGAATGTTGTGTACATATCTTCACTGTTTGTGCACTAGTTTTCTAATTTTCTTTCTATTCAGAACTATCAACGATTTCTGGGGAAGTTAGAAGGTATTATGAGGTGAGGAAATAATGGACACATCCATCACGAAAGCGACACCCGTTGTTCATCAACCGGAAGCACATCAGCTTTTTTGAACCATCAAGCCGTGCTGAGGAAACTTGGCAACTATTTTGATCAGTTCTATAGTTTCAACTCTGAGCTGCGAGATGAATGAGGTATGAACGGTGGAAAAATATCACGCACGATGAAGTTGTGGGTTTTTGAAAGGTGAATTGATGTGTCGTTTATGTGAAATATTGTTGAAAGTCAACGAACAATGCATGAAATAATGTATATGTAATGTATAAGTGAATGAAACTGGAGAAACTCGAGGTGAAGAATACAGCGGAATTTTTGTGTACAATATAACTCATACATGCAATAACCCGTGAACAATGATGACCGTACTGAAAAAAAATCACATTTATATTTACTAACATTGATTATGATAATTTGAGGAGAATTTCACTCAAATTGAAATTTGTGTACAGAATATAGAGTTTGAGTAGGCATATTTAGAATATTTTAAATGATTTGAGATCTTACCTGTGCGTTCTTGGACCTCTGAAGTTCCAGTTTATTATCACGACTGTTACTAAAATACTGACAGTATTCATTATGAACGTGAAGAGAAGATACTTCGCAATCAGTGGAAGTACTAGAGATGTGGGTGGCAGGATTTTTGATACCAGCAACAGGAACACAACCAGTGACAGTAGAATACTGATGCCCAATGTGACCTGGAACAAGTTAAGGTATTCTTCAGTACCGTCCTAATCAAGATGCCCTGAAACACTATAAGGGTCAGTGTGGCCTCAAACTATTCTTTCCTCATAGCGAATTTTTCTTACAAACGAAGGCATATAAATAAAAATGGATTTCGATTTGTTGGATTGTTACTATAATCCTGTATCATTTCGATCAAAAAAGGGAATACAGGATGTTGCAGAGCAATAAGGCTAAAACATATAAATATGTGAGGACATTTTTGACGTGTACTGTATAGAGAGCTCTTCAGAATGGTGAGACAATGTCGACCTTGAATCTAATGATCTACTAGAAACCTCTCCTAACTTCGATTTTACAAATTATTCCGCTTTGTTTTTGTCTTATTGAATTTTTTATTCTCAATTCAATGATATGTTGAAATTTTATTTCCTGAATATCACAAGTATTCACTATTTGATTTTTTTTGGTGTTATTTAGATACATCCTCTATATGCAACGATTCCGCAAACAATCTGTATTGACAGAGAGCTCTGCTGATTGTACAAAAAATAGCTGAGAGTAACATATTTCTGAACATACCATAAGTAGATAACCATCATGTTCACGTTATATGTCAGTTGATGTCATTGAAATTACATTTAAATTCGGTCAATTAACATGAACAACTTGTCTCATACATGATATACACAATGTTGCTGTTGACAAATGAAGCTTCACCTCACTTGTAGATTTTTGAAGAATTGTCTGAACGATGTCACAACGACATGATTTTCAAATTTCACCCAGACGTCACTGAAACCTCATAGATTTCAACGTTTTCAATTCTTTTAGAAATTTCGTTGCGTACGAGTATTGATGAATTGATTATCACGTCTCAAGACAAATCGGCTTGATCAGTCGTCATCTGGTCATCTGTGAGTTTTGCTCCAATTTTCGCCACAGTTTTTTTTTGTCGTGTGAGACCATGCAAATATCTGCTGGCTCCAAAGCTCTGTGATATCCCGTATAGTTCGAGGAATTCATAATTCAAATTGCAATAACTCGAGGAAGTCTCAAAATAGGAATCTATGATAAAAGTGAACATAAATCGTTACCGAATGAAAGTTTCCAGGGTCGCTATTGTTACTGTCAGTAGACGAACAAGTAGAGTTCGACTTGTTTCAACAGCCTAACACAATCGTTGAACAATTCCATATCGTTATTAACACATATAATTGAATCCTATTGAACTGCTTCGAAGTGGAAAGCTTCTCTGTTGGAGTGTTGGAATGGAAGTTTCCTCGAAAACACTTCAACATAATACATGTTTGTTTACCAAACTTTTGGATCTTATTGATCCGTCACCTGAAGTGAAGGTTCAGCTTTGAAGAACATCCTTCAGGGCTCAGATTTATAACACAACATTTATTCGGGCCAAGGCTAACCAAGATGTAGGTATTTCGAAAAATAAGAAAGTACAGCAGAGTCATACGTCCATCATTATGATATGCAAGCGAGCCATTCGCGAATGATATTTCAGGATGGCAATATTAATTCCGAAGAAGTGTTTTCATGAAGAAAACGATTTTAAAAGAATTAAGAAGAGGAATAATTCATGACCTTTATTTCTGTTTCTATGTCATATACGGGGTGTTTCAAAGAAACCTAACCCCCTTGCTAGGGTAGCTAAAACATTGCAAAATAAGTTGGGTTTGCTCAGTAAAAAAATGTCGTAACGCCATCCGTTTTCAAGATACAAGGTGATGAAACAATATTATTTTTACACATTTTTTACGATTATGTTGAAACTACTGGCACATTGTGATGAAATTTTGTATAGATGTTCCTTGGAATCTGACCCATCGTATGCATTTGTTTTTATATCTGCCTCTCATAGAGGGCGCTAGTTATACGGTTCGTGCCGAGTAGATTTGAACATAACTTTTTTGAGGTTGGATTTTTCAATCCAAATTTCATGTGAACTTGAAAATCATTCAATTTCACACCAAAAAACCGATACTGTGTTCCGAATATTTCGATTTGAAAATGATGAAGTGGTCGTAACTGTTGCTGGTATAAAGCTATGTATTAGAGTGGGTATTATGAAAAATGATCACCTATTTATTGAAAACCGAAAACAACAATGAATTTCTGATGCGAAACTCATTGATTCAACAATGAATCACAAGAATAACATCGAAACAGGAAACAGATTTGACTAAGAACATGGATTACACAGTTTTGTTGTATCTTGAGCAGGAAGTCTATGCTACATAGGTAAATTCGCGTCAAGAGTTGTGAGACATAATTGAACATCAATCAAATGACGTAACAGCTGATCCTCAACTGTTCAGAAGAATGATACATTCTTAAAGAAAGAATATAGAATCGTGTATTCCTCGAAACGTATGACATTTCGAACACTTTAACTGATTCAATATTTCATGTTTCTAGTCAAATATCTCTTGATTCTCTACTTATGATTCTTTGTTCCATCAATAACTTCAGCACAAGAATAATTTTATTGTTTTTGAACCTGAATAAATAGGTACCTAATTGAACTCAATAAAATTCATTTTATACCAGCATCATTATTACTACTCCACTATTTTCAAATCGAAATATTCCGAAAATGGAACATAGTATCGAGTTTCACCAGGAGTACCTTTTTGGTGTGAAATTGAATGATGTTCAAACTCATAGCATATTTGGATTGGAAAATCTAACCTCAAAAAAGTTATGTTCAAAACAACTCGGTACGAATCGTGTAACTAGCGCCCTCTATGAGAGTCAGATATATAAACAAATTCATGCGATGTGTCAGATTTCAAGAAACATCCATACAAAATTGCATCACAATGTTGCCAGTAGTTTCGGAATAATCGTGAAAAATGTGTAAAAGAATAATTTTTTCACCACCTTGTATCATGAAAACGGATGCCGTTACGAAATTTTTTCACTGAGCAAACCCAACTCATTTTGCAATGTTCTACCTACCCTAGCAAGGGGGTTAGGTTTTTTTGAAACACCCTGTATATATGATTATTGCAGCATGATGGTTTGAATTTCAAAATATGTTATATCGATGCATAATTTCTTAAATAAAATTTATCTACGATCGAAAACTGTTTACATTTTGACATGATGACCTCGGCAAAGTTTTTCTCCACCAAAACTCTCTGCGCTCGTCCAGTTTCACGCTAATTTCTATTTTATCAATACAAAATAGAAATGAATTCTCTACAGAAATATTGGCATGCATTTTAATTGCTGAGACCTATCGTTTCGATGCTGAGACCTCTGAACCAATAGAATTGTGATTCTTGACGAGGAAAAATCCAAAAGTTACAGGTACTAATAATTCTACTATACAGGGTGGCCCTTTGAAAACGAAATAGAGGCTCTATAGGTGCTATAGTTATCAATAATGCCACGGTAATATTCAAACGGCTTGAAATTTACCGCCAGTACAAACTGACGCCACGATTTCGTGAGTAGAGGCAGACCGTAGCACAGTTGCTAAGTGTTGAAATACGATTGGAAACTTCAGGAATAATAGTTATTCAATAATTCATCAGTTCACAATCGAGTTGGTAATATTCCTAATTAGCAATAAACATTCAATTGTCTCAAAATGTTTCCTTATAATACATTCGTGTAAATAGTGATTATATTGATTCACACTAGAAGACAATTGAAGCAGTGAACGTGACTACAGCGCACGAATTGTGGGCGTGGTCTTGTCAGTTCTCAGCATTCAGCACAATGTCACCAAGTCTCAAACATCTACAAGATATTTTGTTATGGAGACTAAGAAATATTTCGACATGTTGGTTGCTCGAAAAAGTCAAGAATGAACTATAATAACATGGGTTCCTCCTATTATGTTTTATTCAACGACAGGACTCCAACATCTCTTTGATAACTTGATTATCATTGGTGACTCGACAACTTTGCTTCATGAGTGGGAATGAAAGATTATCTGAGAAATAGGGAAACAGCCTAAAAACTGACATCACCATTTATTCGACTTATCGTCAAAATGGCGGCCATGACGGTACGTTTGAAATGAGCTCTGAAATTCATCAATTTTGAAGAACGCATAGACTCATTATGTACATAAAAAAGCGTGAGAAGTGTTACAAACATCAATTTAGGTCCCTAACGATACAGTGGAGTGATTGAATACCAATAATTCATTATCAGTTCACTCGTCCATTGCAGCTCTACTATTCCATATCACTTAACAGAAAGTCACATTTTTGACGAATACCAACTTATAGGTTAGTCACACCGACGTTATCTTCAGACGTTAACAATACGATCAAAATATGGCTAAGTGATATAGTTAATAGCTGTTATTAGTGAATTGGTTACCATAGTTAGCAAGCCTGAGTTATAACAGATAAAATGGTTTTTTTCAAGCATGAAAATTTGTTGAATAAATGCACATACTCACCTTTTCTCCGGCCTCGGCTGGTAGGTAGAAAACCAGGACGCACAGGAACGAAATCAAAACTGTAGGGAGTATCAAATTGACAGTATAAAACAAGGTTTTTCGGCGTATGATGATGTAAAAAGTGATGTCTGTCTCAGTTGGATGATTTCCTTCGTAAATGTTGAGGTAGGCTGGCACTTCGATTATATCCCACGTTCCGGACTTCCAGTAGTCTGACAGATCGACGAAATTTTTATTATTGTACAAGGCTAATGACACTTGGTCGCCATTAAACGTCCATGATCCGAATTTCATGATACACGTTTGTTGATCGAAAGGAAAATATGTTACATCTATTGTACAAGAGCTCTGAAATAAAAAAAAAATACATACAGTACATTCATATAACGACAGTCAGAGGCAAAATTTGTGAGTAAGACAGGTTGTCGCATTACTTTTCAAGGCCGCAATGGAAGAACTATTTTCTCGGCAACCTCGTAGAATAACAAACCAAAGGGACACATCTCCATATTATATTGGTTTCTAGACTGAAATTCCGAACCTTTCATTTCTATTTTGTATCGAATACTGAATTCTGAACAGAATACCTATACCTACTAACAGCTACATTGGAAATTTCTTATGGACATTTCCAAACTCACTGTCGCCGCTGCTTTCGATAGTTGTAACAAAACTTTAAAAAATCAGAATGTCAACTAATTTCACGTCAAATAGCTGTAATCCATCATTTTGCTGCTATGGTAACGATCATCTGCATTTATCAAAACCATATCTACGAAAATTTTCATGGTTACAGTGACAAAAACGATGTGATACTTCCACGCCTAGTCCTGGAAGTACTTCCCGGACCAATCTGGAATTCTACTTTCTCAAAAAAAAAAACCGTCCTGGAAGTATGCACCTCCCGGACGGTTGCTGAAAAATGTTTACGATATCTTTTTTGTAATTATCAAACCAGCGAAGATTTTTATATTTCCTAATCCATACCTTCAGTACCTAGTCAGCAGTGAAACGAAGTTGAGGTATGAAGCTTAGTCGAATCTGTATCTGAGGTAGCTGGTACCGATATCATCAGATTGGAACTTGTGAAGATACCTAGGCAAATGCTGTTATTCGGAAGTCTTCATATTTCGTTTTCTGATATTGATATATGAAGAGTCTCTGTCTCTGGCGATTTGAGTATTCGGAACATCCCAATAAGGATCTCGTTCAGGATGATAGACCTTCTGTGCCAAGGAAAATCGGTGATCATTCAGGCTAATTTATTTCGAAGTGTCTATCTCTTCGTATTGCATTGAAGGGGAATTCCTCACTATATACTATTTCGTAACTGTATTACAGAAGGTGCGATTCCATTTCGCAACACCCTAACCCACTGACCGATATTCCATGACAGAAATTCCATGATATTCAGATTCTGGAACTATTATTTGTTAAAGGAGCAAAAATTTGAAAAACGACTATTGGGCGATTCTTTGAAAAAAAAGTGGATATCCTATTCGATTGAGGCATAGCTGAAATACCCCCATATGAAATTCCTACGCAATACCTCACATAGAATATATGGTATGGAGACTACTATCGTCTGCAAAGCTGTGGATAGCGCAAGTGGTTGCTCCCAACATATCATTGATATGAAGTAGAAACAATGTTGGTGCCAGAATTGATCCTTGAGAAACGTCGGAATCGATGGCAATGGTTTTGGACGATACTCGCCGTCCACCATAACATGGAGCAATCTGCTTGAAAGACAACTCGATAAAAGATGTCATAGCTGAGGTGGTAAGCCGTATGATGTTAGTTTCTGAAGGAGTCCTTGGTGCCGAATGCCTTCGATATATCCTACGCCACCGCTAGAGATTCCTTATGTTCTTCTTATAAAGTTTGCCATATATGGATGACGTAGGCAAGTTGATCCCCAGTTGATCTTAGTTGGCTAAAGCCATATTGTCTATCATCAATGATTCCCAAGCTTTTCAGACATTTGAAGATGACTCTCCTCATCACTTTGTAGATGACTGAAAATCGGGCAATCGGCCTATAGTTGTTGGGCAGGCTTTTATTTTATTTTCTTGGGAATTGGTTGGACTCTAGCTATTTTCCAGCAAGATGGAAAAATACCCGACTAGTACGAGATGGTGCACACTTTTGACACTTTTTGAGAACAATGCGCCAGTGATGGTTCGCTGTTTATTTCGAGGCAACAGCTCTAGAACAGTTCTAAACTCCCGAAGGTGATGATCATCCCGAAGAATTATGTATGTTTGTAAATCCAAAACATTCAGTTAAGGTCAGAAGTATTTTTCTCCCTGTGTGAAGACATTAATTTAATCATATTTTTGCCCTGTCTGAGGATTTCAATAATAATTTTCCACTGTCTCACGTCATTAGACATTCAAGTACATGTCAACAATATATTTCAGTCTGATATCGAAATCACATTTATTAGAATTATTGAGTCTGTTGGTGACCCTGTGAACACAAATTATAGACCTATGGAATTTTCCCTTGTACTGATGATCATAGTATAACATTTTTCGCCTTCAATTCAACTACCTATTGTTGGCACCTTGAGGTGAATAAAGTTGTTCACAGGTACTTCGGCATATATTAATATCTTTGATTTTTTCTCAGTAATTGAGAACTGAGTAGCGGTCGACAAAAAAATAACCCCACTTGTAAATGAAAGAACTAACTTCCGACATGCTCCGAAATGAAGGAGTTGTTGTGTCCATAACAAATAAAAATCTCTCTCTTTCTCCAAGATATCATTAGAATCGTTATAACTGATAGAGAGAACAGGATAATGTTTGCTCTTAATGATGGTCGAGATCATGATGAACTGAAAATCTCGAGACTAAGAGATTGTAAGGAAATTTCGTGAACCGATTGTCAGCTGATACCAGACACACTGTTTCAGATTGCAGAGATTCATCAGTTGTATACAAGGCCAACTGACAATATTATCATGAAGGTTATTTATATATAGCATTGTTATGATGCTACAAATCAGAGCCCGCAACGGACAGAAGGTTGATCAAGCCTTCAGAATCCTCTAGTGACAATAATGGAGAGGTGTATAAGTAAGTAGATTTTTTTACAACTAAACCTTGCAATAAGTTGAACACAGACCTTTACGTCTGTGATACCAGATAGACTGTGAATATCAAAGTGGTTTGATGTCCTACTGTCAGATGATGATGAACATAGAATCTCAAGACTAAAAGAATCTAGGGAGATTTTGTGAATCGATTGTCAGCTGATGCAAGACAGGCTGTCTCGGCTGGCCAAGCCTCATCATATGTACTAGGCTAACTGACAATCAGTTCAAGGAGGTTATGCTACGAATCAAAACCCGTAACAAGCAGAAGGACGATCTAGCCTCCTAAACAATCTAACCTAACTCGACCTGAATGAACGTTCTTCCTAGAAAGAAGATTTTTCGAAAAATTCCTTGAACGAACAGAAGATCTTACTTTTTCTCAACAATCTAACCTGACTCGGCCTAAATTAACTTGCCTAAAAAGTATATTTTTCGAAAAACTACTTGAGAGCACAAGATATACTACTTTTTCTGAACAATCTTACCTAACAAGACAGGAATGAACATTCTTCCTAGAAAGGATATTCTTCAAAAAATTACTTGAGATCAAAATTTAAAAAAGTGGGATCAAAGAGCAACCGATGAAAATGATGTAGCTAGACTCTCGCCTACAAATTGGTGAGAAATATAATTGGGAAATAGAATGGTGGGTAACCATTGACATGCGAATACAATTTCGCGTATATAAGGCCACGGATATAATCATTATAATCACAGGGATGTAAGGCTTCGGATATTCAAGTAGAAACTCTCTCAATGTAAATCTTCATAGCATACTACCCACTCCCGTCAAAGCATTGAGTTCCAATAGTTTCAAAAAACACATTCATATCTGATGCATTTCATAGTACAGGGGAATATACAGGGTGGCCGAAAAGGTTATGTCGTAAATGATAGGGCTGATAGAGTGAGCCAAAATAATGACAGCACACAATAAAAAAACTACTCCTATTCCCGAACAAAAATTCAATATTCAAGAGTCCCTATTCCTCCATCCAGTAACACGCAATGAACTAACGAATCTGATTTCTAGTTTAAAAAACAATACTTCTGCTGGTCCTGATGGAGTGTCTGTTTATTTGATAAAAAAAAGTCACCAATACTTCCTTGATCCCCTATGTCATTTATTTAACAAATGTTTTGTAAATGGCACGATTCTAAATAATTTCAAAGAAGCCACCACAACGCCTATTTTCAAAGCCGGAGACAAAAAACTCGCCACAAACTACAGACCCATATCGGTAATAAATAACTTTGCGAAACTTTTTGAAAAGTGCTTAAAAAGTAGACTTGTAAATTTCCTGGAAAAACATGAGATTTTATCACCATGCCAATATGGATTCAGAGAAAATATGTCAACGGAAAACGCCGTGTTTCACTTAGTGAATAAAATACTGAATAGCGCCAATGAAGAGAAAAAGTGTCTAGCAGTGTTTTTAGACTTGGCCAAAGCCTTCGACACTGTCAATCACGATATTTTGTTACAGAGATTAGGAAATGTGGGAGTGAGAGGCAAGTCTTTGGAATTATTAGCCGATTATTTACAAGGTCGAACCCAAAGGGTCAAAATTAATGATACCTATAGCCAGCCACAGCCAGTCGCCATGGGTGTTCCCCAGGGCACTGTCATGGGTCCAATTCTGTTCCTAATATATATCAACAGCATTTACAACTTGAAAAACATTGAGGGTGATATTATTTCGTTTGCTGATGACACGGCCTTGATTTTCTATGATAACACATGGGACTCTACTTATGCGAAAACACAAAACGGATTAAACATTATATTTTCCTGGCTGAATTCTAGTCTTCTGAGTCTAAACATCGATAAAACCAAATTCTTGACCTTCTCACCAACAACAAGAGACCATCAACCACTAGAGGAAAACATTTTCATACATACCCCCAACTGCCAAAATACTTTAATTTGCTCCTGTCCACGTATAAAAAAAACGGATTCCATAAAATATCTGGGTGTGATGCTTGACCAACATTTACGCTGGGACAAACATGTAGACTTTCTCGTGAAAAGACTTAGAAAACTCATTTTCAAATTCTACCAACTCAGAGACAAACTAAATAAAAATTTATTACTAATGACATACGATGCATTAGCAGAATCAGTTATAAGGTACTGTATTATTGTTTGGGGTGGGTTGAATAAAACAAACTTACATAATCTTCAAGTAATACAAAACACCTTGCTTAAAATAGTACTGAAAAGAGACAGAAGACATCCAACTGA